ATAATAATAATAATAATAATAATAATAATAGTAGTAGTAGTAGTAGTACAGAGTTCTCTCTTTGGGGACTGTTTGTCCATGTTTTTTTATGCTTGGTTATGCATCATGATACCTCAGTTTTGTCTGTAATAAAACAAGGTTATTTTCTGGAGTTCACATCTTACCCTAAGTGTCTCTGTGTCCTTCCTCAGTCTGCTGGCAGGCCACTCTCTCTCTCACCAGTGACACAATTTTTTTCAATAGCTACCATTCAGGTTTTCTTCATGAACTGTCTGGACATCTGGAATTTTTATGAGAGTTCCCTCTTCTCAGGCAAAGTTGCTTTGCCTTGCCTAGGAGGTGCAACCTAACCCAACTGAGAAAGAACTCTTATCTATAAGGAGAATAGACCAGGCAAGGACTTCCTTTTTCTACCCAATTGGTTATTTGAGACTCTATATATAAGTACCTTTTCTTTCTGGGACAAGCTCTCTGTCATCTAGTGGCTATGTTATGACCATGTACTTCTATTTGGCAACTTTTTTTTTTACTGTAGTAATGTGGAGCCTGCCCCCCTTCTTTGGAAAGGATATTTGGGATTCATTAAACTAAATGTAGTGCATTGTCTTTTTAATGTTAAAATGTAATTATTCTGTAATAAATTAGCTGTGCAAATTGACAAAACAACCTTAAAAGTACTCTGGCTCCTACAATACTGTCATATTTCTGAGGACTCAATTTTGATTCATCCACTACAATCCAGTAATGAATAGACCTAGGTGTGAGTTCTATGGTTGGATAAGAAACTAATGAAAAAAGGAAAAAGAACTGTGACAATTTCATGCTCGGTAATATATTCATAAATCATAATATACAATAACAGAAAATAAGTAATATATATAGTGAATGTAGACGGTGGTCTCCGGAAAGGTGTGCCGTTTTGGCAATGATCTTCTTCTGAACAAGGGTGTGTACCTTATCAAATATAACGATACAAGTCTCATTTAAAAATAAATATAACAGTGTGCAAATATATAATATGAATAAGTATAAAATAGTATGAAACCTTACAAAAACTGTCTTTCAACAATTCATTTCTTGGTGACGTATTGGAAATATACTGTTGATTCTAAAAAGTACAACAATAGCTGTTACAATACATTTTCATTGTTATTCAATAATAATTACATTGCTCCACATGCATAAATATTAATATTTTAAATAATTGTAAAAACACTCACCACTTCATTATGAGGCTATGCTTACAGCTATGTTCTTCAATGGGCTATAATTGCTGAATGCCTTAACAGGTGGATTCTGTGTAGGCATTATATCCTGCTGGTCTGTTTTTTCACACTGATCCTGTTACTACTCATACACAAGTACACAAATCACCAACTCCTATGACAATCATCCATGCATATAGGTACAATAAAATACACTAACCATCTATAAGTGT